TCTGATATATAAGAATCTTTTTTTTAAATTTATTTTATTTTATTTTTTTGACAGAGAGACAGTGAGAGAGGGAACACGAGCATAAGAATCTTCCAAATTTTTATTTTATTTTATTTTTTTTAGAATCTTCCAAATTTTTAGAGAATTATGTTGGCAGAAGCAGTACCTGCTTGGACTGAAAGAGTGTAAGGATCGCTCCACACAATAGCTTTCACTGTTTATATGGCAAAAACTTCTATTTTTACCTTAAGGACGGAATATAATATTTTAAATAAGATGATGTGAAGAAAAATGCGAAATTCTGTTGTAAACAAAATTGGTAGAAAATCAGAATCATATGTAACTATTTTGAAAAGCTTGCCTGGTATCAACAAAGGGAATGTGTATCTGAATATTGCTGGAATTAAGAGACACCACAGTGTCATACTCAGTTTGAGCCATGCTTTGTCATTGTATTTATGCCTGATACACATCTCTACAATGACTGCTGTAAAGCTGACCAACTCAGTGTTGCTAAATCCTCTGCCTGAAATCGTAAGAGCTCTTCCATTCTTTTTTATGGACATCTTCAAAGGCAGAATCTTGCAAAAGCAATAATTTTCAGCCTGGCATGTCTTCAAAGCCTTTGAATTTAGCTGCAAATTTCCAGATTAGTTTCCTTCATTCACTGTGCTTCTACTTTGAAGGAATGCTTTGCTTCACCTGGTTGATGAACCCTAAAGCCGTTTTTATGGAAAAGAAGCAACAGTGAAGGCACAAGAGAGTATCCAGCCAACCACTGCTCCTAGGGAGCCTAAAAGAATAAACGGCTCAGGTAGATAACACGTGTAACATTACCCTCAAACTTAATGGTGGCATGATGAGAAATCTTTCTTTTAAAACACATGTCTTACAATACCTTATGAAGAAATTTACAAATGTGAACTACAGGTTTACTGAGAACTGCTCTATTTTGCAATTTTTTTTTTGATTCTGAAGCACAGATGATGCTCCTTGAGAATTTATCAATGCCTCCCTGTTCTAGAGTCTCTCCAGCAGCACCAGCAAAGATAGAGAATACCCTTTCCATTCCTTTGAATCTAACTCACCAGCACTCTCATCTTTGGCACCTGTGACCATAACTGTGTTCTTTCCTTCTTAAGTATCTTCAAGCTTCATCTCCTTTTAACAGTTAATTAAAAGAAATTGCCTGTTTTTAGTTGTAATTTAAAAACTTCCTTAGCTATTGGTATGTATTTGTTGTGCTACATGGTAAACATAATGCTTATCATTATGCAGGCAAACTACATGTGCTATTGTATTCGAAAGCAACTGAGAGTTAGCAACTGTATGAACTGGTGATTAGGATGCCATTTTTTAAGGATTGTACATACCAACACAAGAGTTTATTACTTATATTTGGCATTTTACTTTATTTTAAATACATTTTAGGAATTCTGCGATTGATGTGTAATACATTTTATTTTTATCCCTGTTAAAAATAGGCCCCCATTTAGCATTTTCCTGCTCACCATCAGATTTTCAGGGATGGATTATTAAAATTCCTATAATTTAAAATTCCTATTCCTGTAATTTTTGTGGATAAGTTTTATGCTGTATTTCTGATCCTGTCATATTTTGAATTGGAAATTAAAAAAAAATTGTGATTATCTTTTTCCTGTGCCACCATTGTAGATGGGGTATGTGAAACCGGGAGATACCTGATTAGGAGAGCTGTACTTGTTCCTGGGAAAGATCCTGGACTTTGAATAGGATGGGTAACTGCACAGGACTTTAGGTTGGCCCCCTTGGGAAGGGGGGGTATGTTTATCTGTGGGAAGAACAATGTGCCCAGAAATTTGAGTAGCTAGAGGCACAGAACAATGGCAGACACTGCTTGTTGTCCCCCACCCCGTATCTGTTCTTTCCATTTTGCTCAGTCATAAACCCTACGTGTTAGCTGGGCATTATCCAACCAATAGAAAAAGCCTCATTTCCCAGCTTCTTTTGCCACTTACTGTGGCCATGTGACTAAGCTCTGGCGAATGGAATGTAAGAAGTAATTTGCATAGGTCTTCTGGGAAGTTTTTTTTTAAAGAGAGGAAGTGTGTCCTCTCTTCCTCTTTTGCCGGCCTTCCTCGCTGTCATGTGGATGTCATGGCTCAAGATGGAGCAGCTATCTTGTAAGTCAGGCTGGAAAGCACAGGTAAATTTGGCAGAACATGTCAGGAGTCTGAGCTCCCTGATGGTTATGGAGCCACTGTCTTAGTCTAGGACTGCTAATGTTTACCTGAGAGAGAGGGAAAAGCTTTTATCTTTTTACCACTGTTATTTTAGGCTTTTCACCAATGAGCATTCCTCTTTGATTTTCCTTTAACTATCTTATATTATCTTATTTATACTGTCTTATAATTATTATTACACCAGTTACACCCATTATCTTGTTTAGTCTCCTTGCCTATTTTCATCTTCACCCCTAGAGTGCTAGCTTTATGAAAATAGAAAATTTGCCCCCCCTTTTTGTGATATGCTATAATTTTTATTGCATGTGGCCATTTTTGTGACAATGGGGAGTTTGGTGTTAAAAATAATGTTCCATTTGAGGTTCTTTTATACAGAAATTGCCATCATGACTGATATTCAAAATATCTTTAGTGTTGTAAGACTCACATGATAAGTAAAACTGTTACCCTTATTCAGTACTGTACACTTAATGGAAAACAAAAAGGCAGCAATAACAGCTGTTCCTTTTAAGAAGAATGAACACTGGGTACCAGGATAAGTTGATGACCCAGTTAACACAACTTAATTGGCAATCCTCCTTGGAGTGGGGTGTTGAATTCATCAAAAAAAAGTGCTTTTGATGCATGGTGTTATATCCCTCCTGCCATGTCATAAATTAGACTTGCCAAGGAAGGTGAGGTGTAAGAATGCTGGAGCTTCACAGAACTGCAATCAAGTGCAACTATAAATAATACTGAATAAAGTTTACCCTCTGACAAGTGGATAATACTTTCAGTACATTGAATTAGCTTACCCTTTGCAGTATTCTAAGTTATTCACATTGACAATCCCATTCATTGTAGTCCTTGCTGCAAGGGAGGCATATAGCTAGTTGTTTTGGCTAAAATATGATGGGAAGGCAGTCCTTGGGTTCTGTGTAAAAGTAACAATTTGAAACAGCCTAATAGCAATCACTGATAGGCTGCTTAAATGAATGATATTTCTGTCATTCATTGGTTTAGAAGGGTCCATTGAGAAGGGGACGAAACAGAACAAAACCTAACACTATTCTTAGTGACTGAAATGAAGAAGTGGAAGTTCCCTGACATCCAGATGGCATTTGACTGTCATTTTATAAGGGTTTTCCTTCAAGTGAGACTACTCTGTTGCTTCTCAGTTTCTTTTCAAGTGAGGAATAGTCCTTAATATCGTCCATACCATTTATTTCCCACTTATGTTTAATACCTGTAAATTTCTTTTCAATGGCATCTTTAGAGATTTTTTATTTATTTATTTGACAGAGAGAGAAAGAGAGAGAGAGCGCATGCACAAGCAGGGAGAGCGGCAGGCAGAGGGAGAGTGAGAAGCAGCCTTCTCACAGAGCAGGGAACCTGATGCAGGGCTAGATCCCAGGAATGACCTGAGCCAAAGGCAGACACTTAAGCCACCCAGGCGCCCTTTAATGGCATCTTTAGAGCAAGCATAAATCATCGCCCTTTGTAAAGGTGCACTTTCAGGACCCCATAATTTCAATACCAGGTCTTCTTTCTTAGACTCTTGTTGTGAATGTGGTATCATACAAAGCAAAGTGGCAATCATTCAGAGATAGCAACTTCACAAAAGATGTGTAGGGGTCCTCTACAGTATCATTAGTGTCACCCACCAAGATCTGCTTTGCTTTCTCTACAATTATTTCTTTTGCCCTTGCTTAAACAGAAGAGAACTGCTTTCTTTTTTTGGATCTCCTCCTGTGTAGAAGATTTCCTTACTTTCATATCATTAACAACTTCGTTGACATCATCATTTATTAGCAATGCCAGAAACCACAATGCCAGGGATTGCAGCAGCAGCTCAGGCTTGGTGGGAGTGGGAGGAGAAGGAGGAGCGGGCCAAAACTTTGACTCTCCTGCTCACATCTGAATCTACAGAGTTTAGAACACTGCTTGGAAAAATAGTATGTGCTCAGTAAAACCTTGTGGAATGAATGAAGGCTAGATTAGAACGGGATTCCTCTAAAGGTAGTAAGCTCCTGCTTTAAGAAACTATAGAATTTAGAATTCCAAAGACACTGGGTTATTATAGGTGAGGAAACTGACATTTAGGGAGGTTAAATGATTCATAGGTCACACAGGTCCGTTGTTATGCCAACTGATGGCCACGCTATCAGGTGTGAGACCACTGCCCCCTCTAGTGTGTGCACCATTTGGCTGATAAGTACTTGTCCTGGATACCGTAGAAAGAACCGCTCAGGGGCCCAGGATTTGGACAGGATGATCTACTGCCCTTTCACCACACCGGAAGTGTATAAACTTGGCTAATAGATTTTTGAAGCTTCTCAGACACCACAGAACTTCGAAAGCGCAGCAGTCGGGAGCAGTGCGGTCGCTAAGAGCAGGAAGCCTTAGCCATTTATTACCGGGCACTCTAGGCAAGGGGAGCTGGCAGTTCTGAGGAGGACAGTTGTCCAGGCTCTCTTCTGGCCACCATCTTCCTCCACCAGCTCCCAACAAAGACATCTCATCTCCTTCTTCCACAGCCCTCGGTTCTACTTGGCAGGGCTTTGAGATGACAGAGACTGGAGTACAATGTGACCCAAGTCACCTACCATTGCGTACCCGCTGCAGGACTCGCGCTCCAGCTAGGGGCTGACGTGGGCTGTGCAGAGACGGGCGCGTCCCCGAGCCGCGCTCTTAGCTCTTGCGCTCCACGCGCCGCGCCGGGCTCCGGGCGGCGGGAGCGCGCACGCTCCGCCTCTCCCCGCCTCCTCGGTGCGCGCTCCGCCCCCTCGAGCTGCGATACGCCGAGGGCTCAACATCCGAGGACTTTGGCCCAGAGTAACCCTGCTCGCGTGACCTTTCCCCTCCATTCTGCACCTGGAGCGGCGGGCCTGGCGCGCTGGCTGCGGTTGGGCGCTTGTTCTGCACCCTTCCGCCGCGCTCCCTTCGGCGCTTCGGCGCACCCCCTCGCTGCCCCTCCGTGCGACTCCCCGTCATGGCGGCTCTCAGCAAGTCCATCCCTCATAACTGCTACGAGATCGGCCACACTTGGCACCCTTCCTGCGGGGTCTCCTTCGTGCAGATCAGCAGGGGCGCCCTGGAGGAGTCCCTGAAGATCTACGCTCCCCTGTACTTGGTGAGATCCATCAGCTCCTCCCTCGGCGAGTTTAGTGTGGAGGATGGGCCAGGGAGTGTAGTCGTGCTTCCGAGCGGCCTGGGCAACTCGTTCTGTGTCGGGGTCTCATTTGGAGGGACCAGACGGTTTTTTGGGCAGGGGGGCATGGTGGAGGTCGAAAGGGGTGGAAATCTCACATGCTACATTGGGCGGGAGAAGGGGGAGGGGAACTTGAGGTTGAGCTGTCAACTGAATGCCTGTGGATGAGAAGGGGGTGGGCTCCCAACTTCAAGATTAAGTTAGGACACTTAAAATTGTGAATTAAGGGAACTGCGGTACTTTTCCTCTCTCTTGCATTATGATGGAGAGGAGTTTGTAGGTCAGCGAGGCGAGGAGAAATGCCCTGCAGTCTTTCCTCATCTAAGTCCCTCTATAACCCCCCTCCATTTTTTTGTTTTTTGTTTTTTGTTTAAGGACATATTTGACAGCAAATCCCTGTGGGCTCAGATCTTGTCTTAGTTTAGGATGATAGTATTGTGGCTTGAGGGTTTTGCAAGTGTTCTTGCAGGTTCAAAGAGTAGACTTCTGGTTGAGATTTTGGGTGCTGATTTAAAGGATGATTCCAGACCGAGTCAGTGAAGGTGATTAAAAGACCTGACTTTAGGTCACCTAAGCAATTTAAGTTTGAAGTTTTGAGTAGAGAATATTTGTAAATACGTGTATGTATCACTGAGAACTGTTAAAAGAAATGTGTTCTTTTTTTCTTTTTTTTTTTAAGTAGGCTCCATGCTCAAAGTGGGGCTTAAACTCACGACCCTGAGCTCGAGAGTCCCATGCTCTAAGCCAGCCAGGTGCCCCAAAAGAAGTTTATTCTTAAATAAAACATTCTTAAATGTTCTCACCAGCATCTTTTTTTTTTTATAACCTTGTCCTTGATACTTGACCGTCGAAGTTCATCCTCTCATTTTCTTGCCCAGTAGAGTGTGTGCCCTAAGAAGGGAGAGATCATACATTTTGTATGTTTCCTAAGGGTTTCATTGAATTTTCAATGGATGGTCAGTTCTTACTTCTCACTGAGTAGTAATTTGGATTTGTAGCCTAATATGCCAGAAAGTGTGTCATGGCCATATTTGTGGTGCTTCTTGAAAAGTCTGATTGTTTATTACAGAGATAAGAAAGAAGAACTTGGTAACTTTCTCTGAGCTTGCAGAAATCAGTTTCATTTTTACCTTATAGACCCATGCTTTTCAAACTTAAGACCTCCACCCCCTCACACCCTGGGATCGTGTGAAAATGAGAGTTTCTGATTCAGTAGGTCTGGGTGGGGCCTGAGATTCTGCATTTCTAACAAACTGTCAGGCAATATTGATGCTGTTGGATCAAGAGTCACACTTTGAATAGGAAGGATCTAAAATAGAAGCTAATAATAAAATTATTACTGGAGCTGGACATTTCTCCCTTGATTTTCTTTGGCAAAGATCCATGTTCATCTGATTTTCCACATGAATTGTGGCTAGTTTGTAGCTCAGTATTTTTTAAACAGAACATCTACAAACAATATTGAGCTCTTGATGTAGTCAAAAAAATGCATAAAGATTGTTCCTGCTCTTAGGGGATTATGATGTAGGTGGGGAGAGAATTTATGCTGTCTAATTTCTCCCTCTGAAAATCCACTGTACTTTTAATGTGTCTCATTCATTCATTTAACAACTATTTGTTGAGTGCCCGATTTTTGTCATATCTACAGCCTAGACAATTTATTGGTTATGTTCCATGATAGAGAAGTTCAAGGGAGCAATAGGAACAGGGGTTCTTTTACAACAGGTAGGGTGGGGCCAGGGGTCAGGAAAAGTTTGCGATTCACTGTTGTATCTCCAACCAAATACTTCTTGAGGATAAATTCTTCATCTTATTTGGCCCTGTGCCCCTTATAGCTGTGTATTTTAGACTTTGGGTTGCTGCTCAAGAGTGGTTGTGAAATAAAACTGGGGGGAGGGGCGCCTGGGTGGCGCAGTTGGTTAAGCGTCGTCGGAGTCTTGGTTTTAACTCAGGTGGTGATTTCAAGGTTGTGAGATTGAGCCCCATGTTTGGCTCTGCACTCAGCACAGAGCTTGAGTTTCTCTCTCCCTCTGCCCTCCGCACCATGCTCTCTTTCTCTAAAATAAATAAATCTTAAAAAAAAAATAAAATTAATGGGAACTGACCAAGGTTTGTTTTTTTAA